AGAAATCTCTGTGTTGTCTGTTCCAATTACAGTAAAGGGACCAATTTTCACTGAACGGGATTGCTTAATTTCAGGCGCTCGATTGGTGAAGGATCTAAACGACCTCGGGAAGAAACAAAAGAAAGTACACTTAACCAGGAGGATCCAAGACGTAGTAAACGTTAAAGAACGTCTACTTCTTTTGGACCAGATTTTGTGACTTTCTTATTGGAAAATGAGCCTCAAACATTTAAAGAAGCTATGTCTTCTTCGGAATCATTGTTATGGAAAGAGGCAGTCAATAGTGAAATAGAATCCATACTGAACAACCATACATGGGAATTGGTTGATCTTCCTCCTGGAAATAAACTGTTGGGTCTAAATGGATCTTTAAGAGGAAAATGAAAGATGATAGCACTATTGACAAGTATAAGGCAAGACTTGTGGTCAAAGGGTATAGACAACGAGAAGGTCTTGACTATTTTGATACATACTCTCGAGTTACAAGAATTACATCCATACGAACGTTAGTAGCGTTAGCTGCAGTTTATGGTCTTGAAATTCATCAAATGGATGTTAAGACGGCCTTCTTAAATGGAGAGTTGGAGGAAGAAATCTACATGGAACAACCTGAAGGGTTTGTGGTTCCAGGTAAAGAAAAGAAGGTCTGTAGACTTGTTAAGTCCCTTTACGGATTAAAACAAGCACCCAAACAATGGCATGCTAAATTTGACCAAACAATGTTGTCAAATGGATTTAAGATAAATGAATGTGATAAATGTGTGTACATTAAAAATGTTCCAAATCACATAGTCATTGTTTGCTTATATGTGGATGATATGCTCATAATGAGTAATGACATTGCCAACATAAATGCTACTAAGCGTATGCTAACTAGCAAGTTTGATATGAAAGACTTGGGAGTTGCTGATTTAATTCTGGGAATTAAGATCCATAAGACTTCTCAAGGTCTAGCATTGTCACAATCTCATTATATTAAGACAGTACTTGAAAAATTCAAGCACTTGGGCTTTAAAGTTGCAAAGACTCCAATTGATGTGAATCTTGCATTAGCAAAGAACAAAGGCCAGAGCATATCACAATTGGATTATGCTCGTGTGTTGGGTTGCTTAATGTACATCATGAATTGTACACGACCAGATATAGCTTGTGCTATAAGTAAATTGAGTCGATATACGAGCAATCCAGGCCAATCTCATTGGATGGCCATGAAACGAGTTTTGGGGTATTTAGTACATACCCAGGACTTTGCTTTGCACTACAATAAATATCCTGCGGTCATTGAGGGATACTGTGATGCAAATTGGATCACCGGATCAACTGATTCCAAGTCCACAAGTGGATATGTATTCACTATTGGTGGAGGAGCGGTATCTTGGAAGTCATCCAAACAAACTTGTATTGCCCGCTCTACAATGGAGGCTGAGTTCATAGCCTTGGATAAAGCCGGTGAAGAAGCTGAATGGCTCCGGAATTTCTTGGAAGATATTCCATTTTGGCCCAAACCGTTGGCACCAATATGCATACATTGTGATAGTCAAGCGGCAATTGGAAGGGCTGGGAGCGTTATGTATAACGGTAAGTCTCGCCATATACGACGAAGACATAAAACCGTTAGACAATTACTCTCTAGAGGAATTATCACGATTGACTATGTAAAGTCAAGTGATAATGTGTCGGATCCACTTACAAAAGGCCTAACTAGAGAGGTAGTTGAGAAGTCATCAAGGGGAATGGGACTGTGGCCGAGAACAAGTCATAGTGGCGGTAACTCTACCTAGAAGACTGGAGATCCCAAGATCTAGGTTCAAGGAGATCAAACAAAGTCATTTATTACGGTTCAACATTGTCAACTAAACTTTTGGTCCATTCTCGTGATGAGACAATGTTCAGTACCAAGGATAAAGCATTAAGGCTTTTTAATGATTTCTAAATTTGATACGGGGTATATCAAATAGTGTATCTACGGGATGACACGTTTAGGAATCACCTATGTAAGTGTGAAGTGTTAGCCGCTTCAAGGAGAACATTGTAAGGCCAGTTCTCTACGCACTTATGAAACCAGGCGGTGTTCATGGCTAAAACGAACACAACAATGAGAACCAAAGACGGTTAAGGGTTGGTTGTGTGACTTATGGTTGTCTAGTTATACACTAAAGTTCGACGGTTCAAAGATATCAAATCTACCGATTGATCGAGTATATCCGACATAAGTTCACTACGGAAAGTTCAAAGGGAAACCTACTTATCCAGATGCAATTAATCCTTACTTGCGAATCATACAGTTTTTCATGCATACTTCCGTGATATAGTCATTCCCCATTCATGTGGGGGATTGTTGGGTTTTGGATGTATTTAATTAATATATATTAAATACTTAAAAGAGGGTGAATGGGAAATGGAGGGAAATAAAATTTTTGAGTGAAATTTTAAGTTCCCCCCCTTGGCAAATGGGCATTGTCCCATATTGGAAGAGGAAGAGGTTTTTTATGGGTATATAAGCAATTGCTCTTCTTCTAGCTCTTAAAGAGTTGAGAAGAAGGCAAGCCTCGCGCCGTCGTCGTCGACGCTTGCTCGGCTCGGCTTCGGCTACGGCTACGGCTACGGATTCGGATTCATTCGGATTTGGATTCGGATTTAGTCAAATGATCGATTGATTGATTAACTTTTTGGACCAAATTTATTTGTTAATAGTAAAATATCAACAGAAATATTATTAAATATTTGTTTTAATAACAGAATATTAATATTAAATCCAATCCGTTTTTTCTGTTTTGGTAACAGAAAAGTAACTACCCTCTTCAATTTTTCCTCTTTATTATTGAGTAAATGGCCATTTATGTAATGACATTTATGCTGCGGGCATTTTGCATAAACAACCATTCTGAAGAGTTGCACCTCTTCAGATTTCAGTCCAAATTTGGCTATAAATACAACACTATTCTGCTCAGAATTTCACTACGATATTCTGAGTTTTCTCTCCTTCTTCTGCATACTTTTAGCATCAAACAAAGTAAAAAGTAAGTGTGATTTGCTACCGAACTTTGTGTTCGCTGAAACACTGGGGTTTGAAGTACCACTACACCAGTGTGTAATTCGTTCTATCCTGGGAGGAAATAATCCATAACCTTGGGTACTAGGAGGGGATTAAATTCCTTAAGGAAACACTGTAAATTCAGTGGGCTCGAATTGGTTTTATGTCATTTCTGTTTATGTTCATTTCTGTTTATATTCATTTATATTTCCAGAATTATTTTACAAATACAGTCTACTAACAATGATATCATCAACGAGCAATCCTTGAGAAAATCACGCTGCAGATGTTGATAGTCAAAATTATCGGTGAAAAGACTTAAAAACTTCTGGCGAGCAGATGTCAATCCTGCTTGTCATTGTGAAAAAGTATTATCAGTAAGCAATGCCTTATCAAGAGACAAATATCCTTTTAAATTATCTCCCCCGTCTTCATAATACAGCAACTGCTTAGTCTCTGGATCAATTACCATAAACAACTCTTTTGTTCCAAGTCGAGATTGGTGATTTATAGACGACGGCTTTAATTGTTTAATGACCATGGTCATTACAGCATTACTATCCGATGTTTGGCCAGAATTCTATACTTATAGTACATTACTCGCCTTATATTTTGTTGGATTAGTAGTTAATTGTATGACATTTGAGCTAATTTATGTTGTTTTATGTGTAGAAGCATCGGAAGAAAGAGTTGAATGAAAGTTGCACGAAAACAGACGAAAATGCAATAAAAGAGCACAAAAACACAAAGTACACAAGCCTAGCTATAGGCCATGGCTACAGGCCAGGCGTAGTCACCTCTGTAGCCAGCTTGGCCGCGTTATAGGCCTCGCTTCGTGAGGTCCCAGGCACGCTACAATCCTGGCCTTGCGAGGTCAGGCGCCCGGTGGTCAAAAGTTCACGCATTAAAATACTCCGACCCGGATACCTCGAGCCTAACATATAAATACTACCTAAACGAGTTGAGGAAGGGTGGGACATTATTTGGAGAAGAAAAAAAAGGCTACAGAGCATAGTGGAGCAAGGAATCAAATGAGTTTTCCCTCCGTTTCTCTTTACTTTGTAGTTTAATGTTTTTGAACATCATGATGATTGTTTATACATTTATGAGTGGCTACTCTTTCTCATGTAGGGTTTGATGTAACCTATTTGGAGGATGATTTTCTACTGCGTTTAATATAAATTTACCTTTGACTTTTTCTACTTGTTCAACTACGTTTTTATTATTGTTGATTGAAGAGCTCTCTATTGACTGTGCCTATTTAGTGTGTATTGCTTGGAAAAGGTTACACATTTAGATAGTTGTTGAACAACATCACTCCTAACATATATGAGGAATCAATATCGAAGGTTTAAAGGTGGGATTAGCAATAACGAAACCTTGGTGCGATCATAGTGAGCGGTAAACTAGTGCCAGCTAGCATAGTTTGGAAGAATATGCCTAGTAAATTGTGGTAGTTGCTTGGAAGAGAATTACGACACCCAAAGTACTCATGATCGGTAGAGCATACTTAGGCGAATTTGTAGGAAACGTAGTGGGGAGGATTCGGACAATAGGAGAAATCATAACCCTAGGCTTTTCCAATCTTGTCTATGACATTTGCTCTGTTAGTTATAAATTATAGCATTTTGATTACTTTGCCCTTAGTAAGTAAACACTTAAACTATTATTTAATATTTTTGAAGGTTGATTACATGAATTCTTGCGAAACTAGTGATTGTGATTAGTAGGTTAATTCCCCGTGGGATTCGACTCCGAACTTGTAAATCAGATTATATTTGCAACGATCGCTAGACCTCTTAGGAGGCATAGTTGGGCATGATCAAATTTTGGCGCCGTTGCTGGAAAAATAACGGTGTTATTAATTACGAATAGAAGAATTGCTATAATTTTTAGTTTAGTCAGCTTTCTCGACTTGAAATTCATTATATTGAAACTCTAACATTTGTCGTCTTGTGTGTTACAGGTGCATGCCTAGAAACTTCTCAAGAACTGATGAATTGCTTGAAGCATTACCAGACCCTGAGAAAGCTTTAAAGGCACTAAATCGAGCAAACAAGAAAGACAAACGACAACAGAACTCAACAGAACATATCGAAATAGACATGAGTGATGCAGAGGCGGCTTAACCCCCAGGCCACTAAAGCGGCCGCTTTAGGCCTCACAAAATTAGAGGCCCCAAAAGCTACTCTTTTATATGTAATTTAAATATTTATTATTAAATAGCGATAAAAAAATTTTTAAACCATATTTTGCTACCTTGTCACCCGTCGTTAATAACACAACTTTATATTTTATGTCGTCTTTTTTGGGAGTTGGTGAGAAAATTCAAATAGTGAAAGACAATTAAATCTAATTCCTACATAATTGTTACTTTGGGAGGCAATGCTATATAGTGAGTTATGTTGACGGTCATGTGAAAAGAAAAAAAAATTAAACTTAATAAAATTTTATCAAAGGTTAGTAATGTTTCAACAAAGATTAAAGGGGTTGGTTACATCGTCAAGATGAAATTGCATCTCAAAAAGTAAAAAGAATAAACTTCAACAAAAATATCTAAAATTATTAAACAAGTTTAAGGCCTCTTATTACATCTTGGCTTTAGGCCTCCAGTACCATTGAGCCGCTTCTGGAGTGACGTTATAGATAATCAAAACAACAGAAACATTGGAAACGACCCGAACAATCAGGGTGTGACACCTCTTGTGCCAGAAGCAGCCTTGTATGATTGGTCACAACCCACCGCTGAAAATCTGGCAACCGCAATTGCAGTCCCTCAGATACAAGCGGAATCATTTCAAATCTCAAATAACATGCTACATCTGTTGCAGAATAATGGACTGTTCTCGGGGTCTTACATTGAAGATCCACAGTAGCATCTAAAAATTTCCTGTCGATTTGCGTCACGCAAAGGCAACCGAATGTGACACCGAAAGCAATAAGACTACTGGTGTTTCCATTCTCAGTGACGGGAGAGGCTCAGACTTGGCTCAATTAAATCCCTATAAACTCCATCACTACTTGGGAGGAATTAGTCAAGCAGTTTTTGAACAAGTTCTACCCACCCAATAAGACTGCCAAGCAAGTTGATGAGATATTAAGCTTCAGGCAGAAACCAGCTGAAACACTACAAGAAACGTGGGAGAGGTTCAAGGGGATGTTGGTCAAGTGTCCACACTATGGCATTCCAGATCAAATGTTAGGGCAAAGGTTCTATGGGGGATTGGCAGACAACTTGAAGGCCAATGTTGATATTTCAACAGGTGGAGCATTTTTGAGCAAATCATTCAGAGAAGGTAAGGTCTTACTTGATAAAATGGCTCAAGACTCATGATGAATGACAAGAGACTCTACAATCACTCATGTAGTTCATTAGTAGCTCTAGACTAAACAACTCCAAAGCTGAGAATATGGCCACTCTGATGACGCAAATGAGTATCCTCACCAAAAAGATTGATAAGTCAGGCCAAAAGCAGGTGCACATAGTTGACACGACAAATGGAGGATTGTGCACACCATGAATTAATCAACCATATGTGTGCTCGTGGAATGGTGAAAACGACAATCATAACTATCAAGAGAATATGAACTATGTGGGCAACTATGGAGGCCATAGACAAGGTGGTCAAAATATGGGACAACAAAATCAACAATATAGGCCAGCACATCAGCAGTACAATAGTAATAATAATCCTGGAGTTGTACGACCACAGGGTCAGGCTGTGCCTTATCAAAGGAAACAGGGGTACAATCAGCAGAATTAATAGCTAGCTTATCAACAACCTCAACAACAACAGATAGTGAGACAAGATGACGGGTTGATCGAAATTAAAGGAATGCTGCTACAACTCATTGGGTCCCGTGGGAAGATGGAAGAAAAGGTCCACCAGATGCAAGAAAAGGTAGTATCACACGACTCGGCTATCAAGGGTATTGAGGTTCAACCAGGGCAGATATCCATGGCCCTTAACAATCGTCCTCAAGGGACGTTACTTGTAGACACACATGTTAACCCGAAAGAGAAGGGCCCGAAGCAGCTGATGGCTGTGAGTTTGAAAAATGGTAGAGATCTTGATCTAGAGAAAGAAATTGCTCGCGAAAGCCGACCAACTGAGATACTTGTGCTAGTACCAACTGAGGTAGATGAGTCAACTGAGCAAATAGAAGTAACAGTGCAACAGGCCCAGGAGGAACTAAACAAAGAAAAAGAGGTTACAGAGGAAACTGAGCAAGGGCAAGAGGAAGTATCTGAAAAAGTTTTTGAACAGAATCCCACCCAAATTACAGGAAAGAAGATACCTCCAACACCCTTTCGCAGATGTTTGCCAAATATAGGAAGGATGAGGAATATAAGAAATTCATGGAGATGTTGAAGCAGATTCAGGTGAACATCCCACTGAATGATGCCTTGAGGGAGATGCCTGGTTATGCAAAGATGATGAAGGACTTCATGTCTCACAAGTTCGACTTTCAAGACTTGGCAACTGTGACATAGACTCAGACCTGTAGTGTTGTTGTGACAAGAGCTATAGTTGAGAAGCTATCCGACCCAGGGAGTTTCACAATTCCATGAACCATAGGCAGGTATTCTTTTGCTAAAGCATTGTGTGATTTGGGGGCGAGCATAAACTTGATGCCCTTGTTTGTTTATAAAAGGTTAGGCATTGGAAGATCAAGGCCCACATCTATGTTATTACAGCTAGCTGACCGAATGGTGAAGAGGCCATAGGGTATACATGACGATGTACTTGTGCAGGTTGGAACGTTTGTGTTTCCGACAAATTTTGTCATTCTGGACTGCTAGGTTAATTAAGAGATTCCCATAATTTTTGTGAAGGCCATTTTTAGCCACACAGAGAGCTCTGACTGATTGTGAAACTGGGGAGCTAAAGATGAGACTAAACAATGAAGAAATAACTTTCAATGTGCAGAAGTCCATGCAGCGACCCAGTGAGTTTGCTAATTGCTCTCTGATTGAAGCAGTGGATGTGATTCTGGAGGAGGAAGATGAGACACTGAATGCAAAGGACCCTCTAGCAGCCTGGCTCATGAACTTAGAAGAGGTAGACGGTGAGGACTTGGCGGAGTGGGTTTTGGCTCTTGAAGGCCAAGGGTACTGGGAAAGAGAGCTCGAATTCGAGCCACTACACTTAGAAGAAAGGAAGACCCCTCTAGCTAAGCCATCAATCGAAGAGCCAACATAGTTGGGACTGTTACCATCTCACCTCAGGTATGCTTTCTTAGGACCTAACTCAATTTTACCTGTTATTATCTAATACGGTTTGTTAGATGTGCAGGTAGAACAACTTTTGAAGGTGCTGAAGGAGTGTAAAACTACAATTGGGTGGACCATTGCAGACATAAAGGATATCAGCCCAACATTTTGTATATATAAAATTTTACTGGAAGATGGGCACAAACCTTCTAGTGAATATCAAAGAAGACTAAACCCCAACATGAAAGAAGTGGTGAAGAAAGAAGTGATCAAGTGGTTAGATGCGGGAGTCATTTTTCCCCATCTCTAACAGCAACCGGGTCAGCCTAGTTCTGTGTGTGCAAAAGAAGGGTGGAATGATTGTAGTGCAAAACAAGAACAACGAGTTGATCTCAACAAGAACTGTCACGGGATGGCGAATCTGTATGGACTATAGAAGGTTGAACAAGGCCACCGGCAAAAACCATTTTCCGCTGTCATTCATTGATCAGATATTAGATAGATTGGCGGGAGGTCCCACTTTTGCTTCTTGAATGGATACTTGGGATATAACCAGATCCCTATTGCCCCGGAGGATAGAGAGAAAATGCCGTTCACCTGTCCATATGGCATCTACGCTTTCCGGAGCATGCCGTTTGGCCTATGCAATACACCTGCCACATTCCAAAGGTGCGTGGTGTCCATCTTCATAGATATGGTAGATGATATAATGGAGGTTTTCATGGATGATTTTTCAGTGGTGGGGAACTCGTTCGATGACTGCCTTACGAATCTAAGGTTGATGTAAGAGAGAAGTTGCCACCACCTCTTGCTCGGGCCTCCCCCCCCCGCCCTCCGCCATGTTCCTGCTTTCCCTCACCCCAAACCTCCCCCTATACCCCCTACCCCCCACCCTCCCTATAGTGTTTGCCTAAATTATATATTTTTAAAAAAATATTTTTTACTCACTAACCAAATACTAGGAAATATTTTTCGAAAAAAGCTTTTCACTCGCCAACCTAACATGGGAAAATAAGTGATAAAATCATTCATTTTCCATATTTTCCAAGAAACATTTTCTCAGAGGCGAAAATTTTACGAATTTTAATTTCAACAGTCTTGTGAGCTTTGCAATCCAATTATTAACTATGTGAAAAATGGAACGGAGGCAATATAAGATGAGTTAGATTGTTAATTCTTTTATTTAAAAAATAAAAACTGTTAGATATTGCAAATACCTCACTTGGAAAATACAAAGAACTTTTACTTAGATATACTACTTTTTAAACTTATTTACCCTCAGTATTGAAGTTTTAACTTAATTACAAGTTGATGTACGATTTATCAATCATATATAAAATAGTTATAGATGTCACGATCCAAAATTCCAATCCACGGGGTCGTGATGGAGCCTAACACCGCTTGCTAGGAAAGCCAAAACATAACGATAAATACGAAAGAAAAAAACTACTGGTTAACATTATAATAATAATATAGAGCAAAAACAACTCAGAATAATACATAATAAGTCTAAAGATCAACATTAACGATCATCCATCCCAAGATGTGAAGTCATGAGTACATGAGCTACTAGAGTTTACTAAATATATTGTTTAGAAAGAAGTACTATACTGTCTGGTAAAAAGGAAACAATACAAAAGAAATGGAAAGATGACTCTAAGGCATGTGAATGGTATGCAGCTCAACCTTGAGTCGCATATCTAGTATCCTCTAAGCACCTCTCGGGAATCTGCTGGTACCAATATCCGAAAATGCACAAGAAGTACAGAAGTATAGTATGAGTATAACCGACCCAATATACTCCGTAAGTGTTAAGCCTAACCCCTATGAGGTAGTGCAATACTAAGACAAGATACCTACATATAAACTCGTACAGTTAAGTAACGAGAAATAATGAGATGACAGGTAAAATAT